ATTATCTTCCAATTTAAAAATATTTTTCTAATCTAAAATGAATCTTAAAAAAAAAAAAAAAAAAAAAAAAAAAAAAAAATGAAAAACATGCCCTTAAAAATGTAAAAAATTAAAATCTTGCAGTGGAAAATCTTTGAAAGTTTAAAATTAATCTTAACACAAAACTTTACTAGAACCTCTTATCAAACAGCAGTAGCAAAGGGAAATGGGAGGGGGGGGAAGTAAAATCATTAAAAATATCTTCCAATTTAAAAAGATTTTACTAGTCTAAAAAGAATATTTTATATTCTACATTTACAGAATTTTATCAAGTTAATTTGAATTTGAATTTTTATTCTTTCTGAAAAATTGGTTCTAAATTTCTTTCTTTATATATTTACTGATCAATTTTTAGCAGCATAATGCACGAAAATTTTTGGAAGGTTTATAAATTTTCCTTTTAAAAAATTATTTGTGTATACATAGTCCAAACGCATCTGTATACAGTGAAATATGTTTAACGCGAAGACACTTAAGACGAAATATCGGTTAAACACGAAATAATGCAACAGTCCCCACAAACTACTATGTATTTTCATGCATTTTGTTTCTTTTAACATGAAAAGATATCCTTTCTGGAAATGAACAAAATATAGAAACACTGGCATCGCAGACGAGATTTAAGCGGGATGTGAAATGAAAGAGAGGTGGTTTCACATATTTCGTAGAAAAGAGGCTAATTTGGCTTTGAAATACCCTGTGACACAAGCCAGTTATGTTTATCTATGCTACTTTCGCTTTTCGCCTCTACAAACATCTCATCTCTCATCAGTTAGCTTTGGAATTCGGTGACGAGTTCATGGCAGTGCGTGTAGCTAGTTTTCCTTAGAATGTCCTCCACGAAGGCAACCCTCACTTTAGGCAGATAGCCTTCGAGGCTGTGCCGTAATTACATAAAACCAAAACTAAGCACTTTTTAGATCTGAATAAATATACACAAAACTGATGTAATATCTAAAAGTAGACCACATTAAAAAATCTGATAACTAATTATAAATCTTGCATTATAATATTGACAAGAATTTAACCGAAAATTATACAGGAATTTAACTTGTTTTATACAGGAGATTCTAGAAACTATTGGAAATTGACATCGATATCGGTACAGTTAAAACTACTTATATAATTTTTTTAACTCAAAGCAATTTAATGTAAATGTTGAATTTAGGACGTGCATAGTTGGAATTATATACTGCATAGTCTTTAATGCATGTCTAATGTATTACATTTTTATATACTACGAATTCAAATAAAAGTAGAGGGAAATACATTTTAATTTAAAACATAAAATTTCAAAATTTATAAATTATTCATCAAAACATGAAATTAAGTACATTGATATATACATTAGTTTAAAAATTACAATTTTAAATTAAAAGTATGCACCCCTTCTTTATATGTGAAATAGGAAAAACCAAATATATTGTTTTCACTAAAATTTAATTAAGGCTTTGGTAATGTAGAATGAATAAATAATGTAGAATCGTCAGCATCAAATGCGTTATTTCTATAGCGAAATACTCGAGTTTTTTCACAAATCTTAAGAAAATAAAATATCGATTACGTACACTTTCAAAAAAATCCGTGACCTCCGCCGTCCTCAGTTTAGCTCTAAACGACAGTCAGAAACTTAAACGACAGCTGTCCAGCTGACGGAAAAATTTCCGACGCGTCGATCTCTGTAATGATCGAGACAATGACACCAGACTCTCTCTCTGTCGAGTAGATCGCAAAAAATGACCCGTTCTTCTATCTCGACGATGTCCAGACTAGGGCCCCAAACATGTAGTTGAGAATGTTGATACTCAACTTAGTTTAGAAGACATAGCAGCTGGCCTAGAAGAAAGTGAAATGTATTGTAAGATTCACTAAGCCTAGGTCGGACGAAAAGGTGCCAATAATTCTGATTAAGGAACTTGGTTTCTGTAATCGGTCTGATATCAAAACAGGTCGAATAAATTTTGCGGTAAACAAATATATTGAAAATACCATAATATGCTACAAGTGCTGTAATATAGGCCACAAGTCGAAACTCTGCAAAAGCAAAGCGAACTGTGTTAAAAATGACTGCAACGACCCATGTAAACATAATACCAGTTGCTTTAGATGTGGAGGTGAGCCTAATGCTTTAGATAAATCTTGCCCAAAAATAAATATAAAAAAAAGGAAGGTGAACGATTAGAAGCATGAATCTTCATCGAAGAAACCTCTCCAGACTTCCAGTTATTCTTCCTGGGCAGAAGCTGTCCAGAAAGAGGAAGAACAAAACTCTACTAACACCCACACAAATATATATACTAAAGGCTCAGTATCGGAGAAGCCAGGGGGAAATGTTTTAAGTAAAATAGTCGTAAGATTAGAAAATCTCGAACGGAAAATTGATTCTCTTTACGTAGATAATTTAAATCTTAAGGAAGTCAATAACAAACTTAAAACTGAAAATACACAACTTAGAAGCCTGTATGAAAACGCCTAAAAACAGATCCAAAAATACAAGGAAGATCTTGAAACGACCTGCCTTGCATATGAAAATCTTCAAACAGAACATCTAAATTTGAATACTATTCATCAGGCTAGTCATCTGATATCTTGGAATAATGGGCCAGACACGCTTCAAGAAGAGGAAATTCCTCGAATTCATGATGATACTTTCTAATTTCATGTGTTTTATCATTAGTTGGAATTGTCGAGGTTTCGAGGCGGACTTAAGTTTCTTGTCTTCTTTTGTTTCTTGGTTAAAACGTTCTGTTGTGTGTAGACCTGGGGCCGTATCGTCCTACCGTGCGACGAGATCTCGATACGAGAGTGACGTAGCATGCGACTCCTTCTCGTTCGACTGCTACTAACGATTGAGCGTGAACTGGTATCTTCAAGCGCCTCTAGCGCACAGCTGACTGTATCATGGCCTTGAAGCGAAATCAGTTTCGGAAGGTCACGTGATCGAAATAGTCGATCTCTTTACCATAATCCCGGAGTTAAAGTTTACCGAAATAATAGTTTGTCTTAAAATAAATATAAATTAATAAACGTGAGTAGGTCGTATGATTTACATTAAATTTTTCATACTGCAATATTTTTAAAGGCGGTAAAAATGTATATCTTCAATAATTTTTAAAACAATTTGTACTTCGTTTATGTAACTAAAAATATCATTGAGAATCACCACATGCGAACTTCATTTATGTAATTTTGATAAAAATGAAATCCATTTACGTAATCTGAATCAAATTTATTGTCAAAATAATATAAAATCCACATAAGGGGGGGGGAATTCAATAGATTTATGAATGTAAATTTTACATTTTCATACTAGTAAAATAAATATTAAGGGAAGAATTATTTTGTAAAACTCCATGCCGCTACCATCGCATCAGCTATATAAATTTTTAGAAGACAAATACCCATAGTCATCTCTCTTCACTCCATTCACTAATAAAATTTGCATATCTCAATTTTATCAAAACAGGGAAATGAATTAAAATTCCTTAAATGCTAGAAAATTTGAATATAAAGATGAACTTACATGCTTGTTGTACTATAAATAAATCTTTCAAGATAATATCAAAGAACTAAATGCTAATTGCATTCATAAAAAAGGACAGCCATCTATTTGTACTAGTTCCAATTTAAATCAAATTCCAATCAAAATCACTTTTTCCAAACCATCCAAGAGGTAAGTGATTAGGCTTGGTTTTTTTTAAAGTGATTTCTCCAAATTACAGGTCTATTCCACTATTAAAAATAAATTCATAAAACTTGAAGCTGTACCATATACATACATGTTACATATTATACATAATCTATGCAGAAACAAAGCATAAATCAAAATAAACAATTGAGTTATTAACTGAAATTAATTAAATTTGTTAACATTTTATATGAACATTTTATATTGATTTTGTCATTTTTATATTTTGCATAATTATTTAACATTATTTTACAAGTTATCAAACATATTTTCTAACCGAGTTTGTAAAGTCATTCCACAAGTGCAAGAATCTGTTAAATTAAAGTAACTGTATGGTGTACTAACCGTATCCAAGATAACTTATATAAAATATCCATTTGCTTTCCTGGCATAAGAAATGTATTTTCCATTTTTTTTAAGAATTTTCACCAAACAAGAAATATACAGTTGAAGATTTTAATAGAGTAACTTCAGATGGAAAATTTTTAATTTCCCCCTTATCTAATTCTTTAAGAAAATCTAATTCTTTCAGAAAACCAAAAATATCATCTGCCTGTTATCTACTGAATGAATATTTTGCAACCAGTCCTGGTCAAATATTGCATTTTATCACCCTTAATTTTTTTCATGGCATCATAACCTGAAATCATAAACTAGCACTGCTAAAATATCAGAAGAAACATTTTCTATAAAAAAATCATTAATTCAGTAAATTTGAATAATCAATTAATATTCGCAAAAGTAAAGATAGAATCCTTATCATAATCTAGGTAAAAGGGACATTCATATTTGATGATGAAATTATAATATTGTTTTTAAAACGAAGCTTCTTCTCATTTTCTAATAATTGTAGGTCATTTATTTAATAATCTGAACCTGACATTTGCCGATACATTTCAAAACGTGATTCAGGAGCATTGAAATTTTCCTAACAATATGTATTCAGCTTCATACTTTTGAAACAAACATGGAATCAATTGAATGTATCTGTAATTGTTATTAATGACTGAAAAGTTTGTGGTGATAAAGTTTCTTTTATTGGGACAGAATGTCAAATATGCTATTAGAAAGAAATAATCAAAACAAGAAATTCCTAATTTACTATTCCAAACAAATATTCAAAACAACACTACGCGAAACGTCCAAACTAATGTATTCGATGTTATGTTAAAACGAAATACTTGAATAGGATTGAGAACAGCTACAAATTTTCCCAAATAAATCTAAAAATTAAAAAAGTATAAAACGAAGTATAGATAAAAATATTATTTACCTTAGTATAAGTGATTTAAAATCACTTAATAGCAAAATATATATCCAAAAAATCCACGACCACGAGTTCACAACCACACACTACCACAAAAATACATCGACCATCTTGATCACGTGACTTTTGCGCTTCAAGGCCATTATAGAGTTGGCTGTGCCTCTAGCGTGCGAAACGTTAAGGCTTTCACCAATCGAAAGAGGTAGTAGCTCCTCCTTCGCACCGTCCACATTTTGACGTCAAACGATAGTACAACAGCCAATGAGAAGATTTCTTGACAAATAATCGTAATTTTAATTTTGTTTTTGCAAGCAATATAGTAAACAACCGTTCCTGTGTTTTTTATCCATCTCTAGTAAACAACGTGCGTTTTCCAATCTCTTGTTAAATATGAATTTTGAAAAGAAGCGATCATGTAGGATAACATCTCGGCAGTTAGAGACTTTAGTAGCGTTTATGGAAAAGCACGCAGACTTCAGTTCTGGTAAATTAACACCAGAAATGAATAAATCCACCAGAAAAGAACTGTGGGATCAGTTGGCAGTGCAATTAAACTATGATGGTTGGGGACCCATAAAAACTGCTGATCAGTGGAGAAAGGTATGTATGATTTACTTACAGATTGTATGTGATTAATAACTCTTGTACTAAACAAATATCAGTGATGGAAATTCGTATGCATTAGAAGTTATTTACAAAATTTATGACAACTCATTTATTGTTAGTCATTACATGGATTAGATGATAAATATAAATACCAAATTTTATACACACCACATACATACCTATACATGGATTATTATTATTTAGTTTGTTGGTATTCCATTTTCATCATTTTTCTTTCAAGGAATTCAGGATCAATGACAAAATCCAAATTTTTGTAATTTTGTTCATTTGAAGTTCTTAAAGCACTATGGTTTTTAATTTAAGATGTACAAAATTTGTTTTATGAATTAATTTTGATTTTTTTTAGTTTATCATATAATTAAAAACTAATAATATGCCAGATACATACAAACATTTTTATCTGTAGTGAAATTAGATCCAGTTTATACACTTTTCAGTTACTAGAAAATATCTACAGTTTTTCAAACACATCTCAAAATTGAAATTTGATTGCTTGTAGTTTTCATGAACACAGCAATAACTTGCAACACATTCAGATGTTATATTCCAATAATTTATGTATAATTCGAATGATTAATGGGAGACTAAAAAAAATTTATATAATTTAATTATGAATTCCTAAATTGAAAGACAAGTTTTACACGTAAGGCAACTTTAAAAATTCTGTTGCAGGTAGTTTGCTCGATTTTGTAGAGACTATGAATTTATTTGTGTTTAACAGAATAATTTATCTGTTCTGGCCAAAACAACTTCGGACTTTCAAATAATTTGTTATAGGCGTTTAAAACTGCCAAAAAATAGAGGTTAAATGAAAATATACTGAGGAAATAAGAAAATATTAAATATTGAAGAAATAAATAAAATTAGAATAAGAACTATGTTTATAAGAAACATTAAAAAGTATGTTTCTCATAAAAGCATGCGAGAGCTTAAAAAATATTCCTTTACATCAAACTACAAATATGAGTTTTCAATGTGCAGAAGTAAAATAAATTACATAGTTGCCTAGATTTTATTGTCTGAAATCACTCACCAACTTGTTAAGAGAAATTACTAATACTTTATGTTTTATACCCTCTGATTATAACTTTTTATTGTGTAGGGTTTATATTTATTTTAACTAACATTTATTTTAAGTTTAAACTATCTTTCCTGTCAATCCTTACTTTCCCCTGGAACTGCCAATGCCAGAATATGTAAATTTGAGTAGAACGCGCAAGCATTCAAATTATCAGCGGAAGTAGTATGATTTAAATAGAAGGAAACAAGTTCGGTGAGAGAGAGTTATTCTTACTTAGCGAGCGCGGAGGTAGTTAAAGAGATTTGAAAAACCCCGCGTTACGGCCTATGTGCTTGGCGGGAAGTAGTTGCAATTGTTCCAGTGAGCTTCAAGTCTGCTGAATTAGCAGCCGTATTGTAAAACGCGGTGAGTTAGTTATTTGAGAGAGCCTCGTAGTTAGAATATTGTCTTTAATTTCTTTTCAGGTTTTTTATTTTTATTTTGACTGCCGAGTTGGCACCGTTTGTAAGCGTCAAGAGAACGCAATTGTAAATTAGTACGTTGAATAAAAAGGGACTTAAACCCTTTATAAGACTCTGTGGTTTATACAAGCTTTCACAGTCACCTCTTGATTGCGTGCTAGTTAGAGGCGCGCAACGTTATATTGGCGCCCGACCACTTTATCGAACTGAAATGGCCGAAACACTGGATGGAAGCTCGCTGTACAATTCTAACAACAAGAAATGGACGAACGCAATTTTTTGATTTGGAAGGAGAAGGATTTGGATACCTGGTACAGACTGATGAGAGCATCAATCAAGCCAAACATCAATTTCGACGGAAAAATTCGGTGTCCGATATTCTTAGAAGGTATAGAAAACCATTTTCAGCTCTACCCTGTGCCTGAAAGAACAAAAAGTTGCTATCGCCACATCAGCACTAAGAGGACAGGCCGCCTATGGTGGAAAAATATAGGCAAATTTTCTTCTAGGTGAATTTGGAAGCCCGACGTATACTTTTGAAAATTTCAAAAAATCGTTAGTAAAGGCCTTCCCCATAGTGAAAGATCGCGCACGGCTGGAAGCCGAGCTATATAGTTTCTATCAACGGATACAGCACAATTGACGGACTTTATTTTACGAAAAATCAAGCTAACGGATATGTTGTATGGGAAAAAAACCCGATGCGGAGATTATTGAAATAATATTACCAAGATTGTTTACCCGCTGTCCAAGACTACTTTGAAATTAGAAACCCAACCACATTGCAGGAACTTTTCGAATTGGCGGTGAAGTTTCAAAATCGCAGAATCGCGG